ATGCACCACTACTATACTTATCTTTAAGGTACTCTAATATCCAAGTAGCAAACTTCTCCCAAAATTACAAAACCAAAACATTTTAATGGCTCATTCATTGACTCTGTTTATATATTCACATGCACACAAAGAAAATCCTTGAGAATATATTCCCATGTTATAAATTGCAAGCACAAATCTTCTCACCCTGACCATGTGAAAAGAATATGTCTAGCAGCCACCAGGATCAGGTTTTATACATACAGTAACGATCAAGAACACTGCTGCACAACAAAACTTTACAAACTGCATCTATTTCACAATGTGGAAATAATGATGCTCCAGAATAAGTCCAACTTGTAATTTGTGCTATTGTAAAGCTGCTCAGCACTTTTAAAAACGTAAATACTTATGGAGTAATAATTTACTTACAGTATTTGCACTGCGTTGCTGGTAATGGATTCCTTAATTGTACAGTGTGTATGATTTTGATTGTATGTTTCTGTAAGAAAATTGTCTACAATCTCAGAAACATTATCTTTACATCAGATTGCATAATTATGTTTAAGAATGGTTCAAGGAACTATACATACAGTATACAGATTTTTGCTACCATTTGGCTGTCTATAGGTGATAGTACAAATTTAAGCTTGGTTGTATCCTCCTCCAGCTGGACACACCTGCCTTAGATTTGCCCCCTGTGAAATGAAACTGCACAGGCAGAAAAAGTTCCTCTGATTGGTCCTTTGCATAATTGGACATTCCTCAAGAGCAACAGAAGTCAGAGCATGTCATCAGTCAGGTGTATAGGCTTGGGGCACCAAAGAATAAGCCATGTAGGGCACATCAGTAGGTGTCCAAGGAGACAAGGGATACATTCCTTCCCATTAAAGGGAAAGCCTGGCCATATATTGAAGGGTGAGCCCTGTTAAGCATGTCCCTGTGAATGTAATGAATAGTTTTAATTTTTAGAAGAGGAATGAAGTTTCATGAGTTTCTCTTCATGTCTTCCAGTCTATTATATGGTAGAACATTTGAAGAGTTGATCCACAGAAGATAAAAAGCAGAGGAATATATTTTATTAACTAATATATCTGTGTTGGACTGGTTTTTGGGACTGAGCAGGCTTCTCCGAAAAGCCAGAAATAGTGACAGACCTCCCAAACGTGTACTCATAAATTGGTGATATGCTAGCTCTCAGCTGCATATTGTGGCTTGGTGCTCGACATTCACTATACTATGCATAAATATCTGTTTGTGTTTTGGAAAGAAGCCCTACACAGAATGAGCCTTTAGATAAAGGATTTCAGATGAGTGCCTACCAGAATGTAATCATATAAATACATCATAAAACCAACATGCCTGTAAATGGAACTAAAATACCACCTTATCAATACAGACCATATAAATTGAAAGTAACAAATAGGTTACTTAGTTTAATTTTAAACATTCACCCATTTTCTAACTACTTCTTCCAATTTGTGGTCACATGGGAGCAGGTTAGACACTGACACAAACACACTAACACCTAGAGCCAATTTTCCTACAAGCCAGTTAACCTACCAGTATGTTCTTGGACTGTGGTAGAAAATCAGAGCACTCATGCAAACAATGGGACAAACACTACAGAGATACTCCTCAGTTCTGGAATTGAACCCAGGACTCCAGTACTGCAAGGCAATCATGCTAACCACTGTAAACAGGGGGTTTTCAATTTCAGAAAATCAGAGTAGAGTTGGGCAGGATAATTATTGATTTCAGTAGAAAATGGATGGCAGACTAAAAATATTCTGCTTGAAGAAAAGTGTCCCTAATTAAGTAAACCAAAGTCAGGCAAGAAATGATTACTGTAAATTAATTAATTAAGAAAGGTATAAGCAGAAGTTTTCATTGGTATAACAGCTATATAGGAACACTAACTATCAGGTAATGATAGGGAAATGACTGATGTATTAAACTATTATTGCACTCAAGTGTTTACAAAGGAAGAAATAAAAACATGCCTAAGGCACAGCAAGCACAAAGTTCTATATTAAATATTATTAGCATTAAAAAGGAAAATGTATTACAGCTACTATGTGCACTTAATATAAAAATTACCAGGGCCCAAAGGTGTTTTATCAATTATACTTAAGGAAATAGCTTACAGTATGTTACTTATAGGCCATTAACAAAACTCTTCTTATAGTCTCATGTGTCCTGTGACCGGAAAATTGCTTATGCTGTGCTAATCCAAATGAGTGACAAAACCAAACCAAACAATTACAGACTAGTATTTCTTATTTACAGTAAATTACTTTAATTGAATTAGACATAATAAGTTAGGCAATGTGGATTTGGAAAACATGGGTGTTCTTTGCCAGCAGCCATATCACCCTGCCACTCACAACTGGCAGCCCACTGAAGCTAAGCAGGTGTGGGACTGGTCAGTACCTGGATGAGAGACCTCCTGGGAAAAACTAAAGTTGCTGCTGGAAGAGGTGTTAGTGGGGCCAACAGGGGGAGCTCACCCTGCGGTCCGTGTGGGTCCTAATGCCCCAGTATAGTGACGGGGACACCATACTGTTAACAGGCGCTGTCCTTCGAATGAGACGTAAAAATCCCAGGGTGTTTCTCGAAAAGAGTGGGGGTTTAACCCCGGCATCCTGGCCAAATTTCCCATTGGCCCTTACCAATCATGGCCTCCTAATAATCCCTATCTATGAATTAGTTTCATTACTCTGCTCTGTGAGTATCTGTGATTACATCACTGATAGCTGATGTGTGGTGCACTATGGCTGCCGTCATACCACATTGGTGGTGGTGGAGAGGAGTCCCCATTACCTGTAAAGCACTTTGAGTGGAGTGTCCAGAAAAGCACTATGTAAGTGTAAGCAATTATTATTATTCTTTAACTAAGAAGCAACAGCAGTAATAGATACAAGCTGATCATACAATATGGTATACAGTATATGGTATTTAGATTTCAAGAAGGCTTCTTCAGAAAATTCTTGAAATACAGGCGATATACTGTACATTAAAGGTACAGTACTTGGATTAATAATAGCAGTATACAGACTCTATCTAACAGATGATACTGATGCAAATAAATATTCTTAGAAAAGAAATGCAAGGTCTTGTAAAAATCATAAGATTTCGATCATTTTACAATAATCATCAAGTGCGTGGTTAAAAGCGTTCATTTCTTAAATTGAATAAAGTTTAATAGAATAAAATGTTACTATATTACTGTAACTAAGGCTATCATAAGAAAAATATATTGTGTTGATTTTCTTTTTATATAATAGGTAGTGGTAACATGCAGCTATTTCTGAATGTAGTCAAATCTCAATTATGCAATTGTGGAAACTGTATTGTTTTAGGTTTAACCCACTTGTATTGAGGGAAGAGTGCCTGCCACAATAACAAGGAAGATGAAACCTCCTGATATAGCAAGAGGTTGTTGAGTTGGGAATGGTAGAATGCTTAGCTTGGCAAATTCACAGAAACCAATGTCTAGAGGCTGGTATTTATACATCTGAGCCTGTGATTTTCTTGAACTAAGGCTTGCCCTCCTCCTGCATTTCCATCCCAAACTCCAGTAAATAATTCCACACAACTACTGTATGGCAAACTTCTGAAAGAATAGGCAATTAAAACTGAGAATCTGTCAGGAAGATAGTTACAGATCATGTTGGCATTTCTCAAAAAATAACACATCATTTAAACTAAAGACTGTACTATTTTTAAAGTCTGTTTGACAAAGATCTTGAAAGATGATTATCAATTTTGTTTTCTTTGATTGGAGTAAAGCTTCAGGGGCTCATACTTCTGTTTGCTTGTCGTGTATGCCTTTGTTTTTTGGCGAGGTTGACCACCTGGCATCATTCAAATTAATTAAATTGATCAATTCTATGTTTTTAATGTCTTAGTTTTCTAAATAATAAGAAAGTATTAGAATTATTGAAGAGATTAATAGTTTTTCTTTGATCAATCTATGATTGCAAAATGGTGCACATAAATTCACAAAAAAACATGATTTTGGAAGATCCCCATGGCAAATTGGAAGAATGCATGCTGTATATACAGATCCAGCCATTCAGAATGCACAATGAATAGTGTGCTTTAATATGTATGCATGGCATGTTCCAATGTATTTTTTTAAAATTCTGCTGCCGGACTGCAAAACTTTGTAAAACCACCAGGTGCTGCAGTATATGTAAGATGGGGAAGTTGTCAATAATGTTGTGAAAGGGCATTAAGTGTACCAGTGGAGGGATCATCCTCTAAGATTCTCTAAGATGGGAAAGTTGTCATTAATAGTTAATAATCATACGTAAAGTAAAGTATGAAAACACATTGGTTTGTATACTCAGCTACATTATTTAAATGTTTATTCTTGATATACAAGGTACTTGAATACAGTATTTAGTCAAGAAGTTTTTTTTATTCATCTTGTGGGTGTAAGGTTGTGGTTGAGACAGCACATTCTCTGACCTCTAGTCTAGTTCCTAGCCACAGCAGGTAAATAACTAAGAGCATTTTGAAGAACAATAACAGAAACTTATCTTTGTCAATCAAACTAAATACTATAGATTAAAATAATAACAGGCATTTAAAAACACAGCAGACCATCAAAAATGCTAAAATTAGTTTCTCAGTATTTGTTTTCATCTAGTGAAGGTTAAGAATTTTACAGTTTACCAACTATAGTTCACTGAGCAAGAACATAATGCACTTTACATAAGATATGAAAGCTGAAGCACTTCTTCAAAATCAAAAAGACACTGCCAATTATCAAATAAAATCATGTGTGCATGTATTAGTGTGGTCTTGTTTAGAGGTGTTCAATTTTTTATATACTTCTGTATAAGAAAATAATTAATGTATCAATTTAAAGGGAAAATTATTACTGCACAATCTGTTGCTGAGAAAAAGAAACATGCAAACAGTGAAGATGGATCTTGTTCTAGCTATAGGCCATCGTAGGCACCAATATCTCTGATATGTTTACATATAATAGGTTTAATCCATATACTCACCAAACTATTCCCTGAGCCCCAGAGCCAATGGGCTTTAGATTCTGGTAACGTTTGAGAACTGTGAAGGTAGAATCCCCAACTTCCACACTGTAGAACTGGTTGTCCACTTTGCTTTTGCTCATGTTGTAATGCTTGGCGATGTATGAAACATCCACTTGTTTACCAAACCCCTGTGAAAATACAGAAATTAGAAATGATTTACAAGGCTTTAAAGTGCCTTCTATTACAGCTACCCTGGTTCTTCAAAATTGGAAAATAAGAATGTAAATGGTCAAAAAGGCAACAGTTTATTTAGCCCTTACATGAGGTATTAAGCAAATTGCTTATAACAATTTATAATCTAATAATGTATAATCCCTTACATTTTTCTTACCATCAGAAATATTGTTTCTCGCTTCTTTGGTATCTGACAATTGATTTGTCATTGCGCTCCTCTGTTGAATTTAAAAATCCATAGAACAAAATTCTTCTCATTGTTATTTTATAGTAAAAACACCATAGGCCATGTGATGTTACATACTGTACAGCTTGATAGGCACATGCAGACAATCAAAAAAACACTGTTGTACTGAAAATTAATAAAAATGTGTAATTTTGTCTGTCACTGGAAGAGCACTGAAATCAATGCATAGACAGAAAAATAAAGCAAAAAGAAGTAAAAGCAAATCAATCTCATTTAAGTAATTACTGTGATTCATGGGAATAGGCAGTCATTGGTAATACCAATAACTGATAATGAATTAAACTCATTTGGTATATTGTCACGTCTGAGGTGTTGAAGCGGTTTTAAAAGGTTGTCAAGGGGTTGACACGTGGCTAACCCTAAGTGCCTTGTCAAAGGTTACTGCACTCCACTGTATACCACAAGAAAACGTCATGTGAAATCCAGTTTCATTAAAATTAAATAATCTAATCTTGAGTTAAAGTAATGCCATACAGAACCTTGTCTGCAGATATTTGGCAAGAAAACCACTGCACATGAATGATTTTACAGGATTATGCTAATCAAGATCTCCAGTGCTGGGATGTAAGCAGGTACTAACATACAAACTCACCCTGCTATTGTGCTGATTCCAAAAAATCATATAGGGCTTCCTGGTACCATTCTGATTGGTATCTATTTGTTATAATTAAATCAGACACTTTACAGGTAGAGAGTCATTGTTTATTTCTGTTCTGTTGCACTAATAAAATAATGCCTGTTTTGTCACACAAACTTACAGTAGATGAAGCTAAGAAAAGGAGCAATTTTTTTTTCCATATTTACTCTGACAAGACTGAAGTAACAGAAACAAGATTGCTGTACCAGCTGCATCCGCGTAAACTTTATTTTGACTGTTGATGTTATTGGAATCAGAACTTAGGTCAGGAATGTTGGTTTCATCTTTGAACTGAGTCTCACACTTAAAACTCTAATGCAGAATGTTGCCTTTTCATAATTAAGTAAATATTCGTAATAGTGCTTGTATATCTTTTTTCAGACTTGGTTATTCTAATGCAGTGTTTGCTAGTACACCCAAACATTCTTTACAACTTGTAGCATGTTTTGAACTGAGCAGTTCATTTTTTAACTAAAACCAAAATACACAAGCATAGTATATCTCCCCTTTCAGCTTCCTTGCAATGGATCCTGTGTAGTTCAAAATATAGATCAAAATGCTGCTGTTCACCTTTAAAGGCTTGAATGGTTTGGTTCCTGACTGCATCAGGGAAATAACTCCCTATTCAATTACACATCATTTGTGCTTTTTTAACTTGAGCCTTCTTTATGTTTCCAAAGGTCTAAACCCATTCTGCATTGTTTTTTTGTGGGGCTAAGCCTGTGAAATGATCTCTTAGTTTGTATTTGATCTGAAAAGTCAGTCATCACTTCACAATTCTGTCATAAGTCTAGCTTTCTATCTTTTAATTCTGATTAATTTGTATATACCTGTCACTATTGCTTTTGCCTTTTTGTCTTGTTTTATTGTAAAGTGCCATAAATATGGCAATACATACATTTATTTCCATTTAACAAAATTTATTAAAAACAGTTTACATGTGCTGTATAATGTACACAGAATTCAAATCATAATCAGTGCATACATGATGTTGGAAAAATGAATATTCCAAATTTTGATGATGGGGAAAAAGAGCCTATTTTCTATTTACTTTGCTAATACAGTAGTTTTGCCAATCATGGAAAAAGAACAATACCCAACATACTAATCCATCATGATCCAATTAATTTACATCCACCTCCAAAAACGTTAAACAACTACCTCTCTTTTTCTTAGCGGGTAACGTGCAATTTGCAGTAACAACACTAAAAAAGCCTTGAGGGGACATATGGCCGTAAGTAAATCTCATAGGCATTTCTGTCATTCAAAAAACAGTGCATCTCTTAGCCATTACAAGTCATTCCTGTTTCTGTCACTCACAGTCAGACACTGTCTGTATCTTGCTTCTGGCTTTTAATGACATCATTAAGATATTTGTTGCTGTCCTATGAGACACATCTACACAAACTCTGAAAAGCTGAGTTGCCTTTGGGTAGAGTATCTTGGTAGTAGAGTTGAGTTTAACATCTGCGGGTGTTACCTTACTTTTTAGCAATAATTCCTGCTCTCTAGGTTTTAGATTTTTGTGCTTTTTTGTTTTCTCATTCTGAAAATATTAAGATCATAAAACTGATATTTCTAAACCCTCTGATCCAAGCGACCTCTCCCATTGCCCAGACATAAACCCTGGTCCTTACTTTTAACATCAATTTCAATGTAATAACTCTAGCATTTGCATAGACCATGGCTGTTTCACAGGGGTATACTGTATATTATGAAGGAAGAACATAAGAAATGTTACAAATGAGAGGAGGTCATTCAGCTCACTTAGCCCATTTGGTAGTTAAAGGTAATAGTTGACACAATGACCTCATCTAGCCAGCTTCAACAAAATGGCTGGGTAGCTTGTTCCATACTCTCACAACCATGTGGTGAAGAAGTACCTCGATGTACTGTAGTTTCCATTTGTGCACATTGGTTTGTGATTCACAATTTAATCTGAAATGACTTTGTCAATGCCTTTCAGGATTTTGAATATTCATATCAGGTCCCCTCAGTGTTCTCTCTTTGAGAAAGGTTCAGTTCATCATGTCACTGTAGAACATTCCCTTAAACCCAGAGAACCAGAATGTATCTGGTTGCTCTTTTATGGACAGATTCTAAAGCATGTCTATTCTATAAGATATTAACATTGGAATGAAGAAATCAAATTAACTGTTCAGTTAGGGAGAACAGAGTCAGAGGCTTGTTTCTGTTATAGTTTAGCCTATGGAAATGACAACTGAACACTGTACACTACATCTGATTTTCAGTCTTTAATAAGGCAAAGGAGGAAATTTTAGTTTTGAACTCCACAGGGACATGGCATTAAAGCATTCTCACAGACACAGTGTGGGCTGAGACAAAACTGAGATAGTGACTAATTTGTTCTTGCTTCTTACAGACTTGCATCTTACAGAAATTTCAGCCACATACAGTACCGATCAGAAAATCCTATACCCTTTGTTGTAAACTGTATAGATGGAGAATCATTGTTTTAGGAGGTTTTTATTATTTTTTTTTGCAAATTTTCGATCAATATCAGAAAAATGGGCTGTCAACTTGGAGTTCTGTGATTATTGTACCTTTCTGTTAAAAACTGTGCCTGGTGCATAATTTCCCCTAAAAGCTTTATTTATGAGACTTCTTTTCAGCTATAATTAACTCACATCTGTGATGTACAATGTGAAAGAGTTTCATACTGTTGACAGCAATACAATACCCAGAATTCATAAGTAGCTAATTAGGATTTGAAAAGGGTAAAGAAATTGTGCAGCAAGAAAGCACTATATGGGCATCCAAAGGCAATTCATAAAAGAAAGGAACATACTAGCAATTTAAATTCTGATTGATTTACTTTAATGATTTCATCACTCTTTTTAATATTACATATTCAGATTTGTGTAAAACATTTGCAACAAAAGACTCATAACCTTTTTAACCAAACTTACATACAAAGTTAAATAAAAAGCAAGTAAGAAAAACATCACATTTACAGCACTTGTTCCGGATCCTGCATTTTTTGTGTTAATTGGGGCTGTCTTAGAACCAAATGTACAGACATTCAACAGCAAAAATCCTTTTATGACTTGGGAAATTCTGTCATTAGTAGTCTCTTTGGTCTTTGGTCCAATTACCTTCATTCTTGTCATTGTCAAAGGCATCTATGGAAGGATAACGAACCCAGTAGGCATTCAAACATTCCTGTGGCTGTGTAAAATCCTTATTTTGTCCTTAAACCAGGTCAATACTGTTTTTCTGTGCTGAAATGTTTTCTTACAGAAGATTTTTTTGCCCAATAAATATGCAAATAGATGCAATCTCTGTTACTAGATAATATGGAGCAATGATTAAAAATGATACTGTACTTACACAAGTTCATCTGAGCAACTTTGACAACTGTTTCTTCAATATTCAATTTTAACTTTGCTGTAATGGTATCTCCTATCACAGGTCTATGACTTTTGTGCACATTGGCTATTTTTACAGCTTATTCTTGTAGAGCATTTTTTGGGTGGAGCGGTGGCTCTGTCGCTAAGGATCTGCGCCTGTGGCTGGAAGGTTGCCAGTTCAAATCCTGCTGCCAGTAGAGGAATCCTACTCCATTGGGCCCCTGAGCGAGGCCCTTAACCTCAGCTGCTCCAGGGGCACCATAAAAATGGCTGACCCTGCACCCTGACCCCAAGCTTCTCTCTCCCCGCCTGTGTGTCATATTAAAACATATATATATAGATTATTTACAAAATGTTCAAAAAGTAAATTTCCTTTTGTGAATTAGTTGGTGAATCTTTAGGTTCAGTAACTGGTGGCACCTCCTTGAGCTGCATTGACTTCTACAAGACGTTTCCTGTAACTTTATATCTCTCACATTAGCTTTTATGAATTTTGGCCCATTCTCCCTTAACAAACTGGTTCTCATTGGTGACATTTGATTGTTTCCTTGCTATAAGGACCATGGAATGGAAACCACTAATCTAATGGTACATAAAAAACAACAATAGATGATATTATACTGTAGCATGGAATCACTGAGCTTGACACAGTGGTGTACAGAGAAAGAACTTTTAATGGTCTTGTAATGTACATAAGAGCTATTCCCAAACTGAACTGGTGACTGTGAATACAAGAAAATTTGCACAGGACAGTCTTTCTTAGCTGCTGGGGAGTTCTGGCATGAACACACACAAGTTCATTCACTCTTCCTTCAGCGTCCCTCTGTCACCTTGGAAACCTCACGCTTCCCCCTGCCCCCAGCTCTACCCCCAGTGTGTCTCCCTGACAAATATCTTGTGCGGAAACAGCAACCCACTACATACTGTATCACAGAAAGAGTAACATTTCTACATGTAAGCATTGTATTGTCTTCCTTTATTTCAAATCCATTTGTATCATATCACACCACAATCTACAGTATATCCATCACCAAGCCTCTATGTGAAACTTGGTTTTATCAGAAATGTGTTTAAACCAGCTGAGCCACAACTGAATTATTATTGCAAAGCAATAGCGTAAAACCCAGAAAGAAATAATGTTTTAAATAAGTAAAGATGAAATCTGTTCTCCGTGATGTATGGGACCGGAAAGATCATCCAGAGATAATAAAATCTATTGTAAATTAAAAGCCCATTTTTCACTGCAGTGTCTCACAATTAAACTGACATAACTAATTTGATCCTGATTAACAAAGATTTGCTGTAATTGCAATCTGTTATTGCAATGAGGAAAGCTGCAGCCATCATTCATTATCTCCATTTTCTGTTTGACATTTCTTCTCTAAATAATTGAACAGCTTCACACATGTCCTCTAAAAATGCCCTGTTGTTTCTTTTCTTGTAATTTTCCTTCATGGATATGTGAAATAAATCAATTATTGAAGCTAAAAGAAACACATGAAGATACTTATAATACTCTTTAGATATATTTGGATTTTAAACAACTATACAACAAGTGTGTGAGTGTTTCCAATATGGAAATCATATTTCGAATTCATTGAATTTCATTTTAGAAAACATTTGCCATACTGGGTCTAGTCAGATATACAGTATTTGATTTCCACCTTGTACAAAATATTAATGATTAAGCTAAATATTTTGCTGTAAAATTAAAGATCTGCTGTTACTCAATTTTATAAGTGTTCTGGAAACTAATATCAAATACAGAGAAGGACAGTACAGGGCTCCATGTATTATTACATTTAAAAAAATGTGCTCCTTTCATTAATTTGTTTCTTTAGAGAATATGTTGGTCAGAGCAACTCAGGCTGCAAACCTAAGAGCAATTAATATTATAATAAGCACTGCCACTGCGGAAGCCTTTAATGATCTTTTTGTTGTTTTGTTTTTTTTCTTGCATAGACTAACAGAGTTTCAGAGATAAGCTACTATTGTCCCTTAGACACTTAGGTTGCTTCAGTGATGGTGTGTTTTGAGAATGAAAGAGCTTTTCAAATCTAGAAGGTTAATAAACTGGTGCAACTAAATATATTTTCCCCAGAGCTGGTATAAAAATCTTCTTTTTTTTTCTCAAGGCCAACATGACCCCTCAGTGCTTACTCTAATTGAAAAATGATTCTTAAACAAGCAAGCTTACAATAAATTCAGGATTCCCCAGAATAAGCTAATAGTAATGAGAAACTTGGATCGGTCTTGCAAAGTCAACCTATCAATTTCTGGTCCTAAGGTAAGTCTGGTCCGAAGATTGAGTTCATTAATCTTGTTAAAAAGAAATGTTTGACATTTTCTTTTGATTCATCACCTTGTCAGATGTACTGTTTTTTACACTACCAAATTTACACAATTCCATTTAATTATCAACATGACATGATTGTTTTTGTGTTTTTACACCTGAGTGACCACACCTCAATAGCCCAATAAAGCAACTGACTATATCGAACAACAAAGTTCTGAAATGATATGTGGATGCCAAGTGCATTTCATTCAAAGTAAGAAATTCAGTCCTCCTTTGCCTGTTTTGGATTATTGAAAAAGACCAAAGTCACAACAGCTCACTGGACCAGAGCTCATCCTGGTTTCTGTATCGTTAAACAGAATAGAGAGCACAAGACACTGGTTCATCAGCGCTGATCCCCACTAACAGCTGGGTGGATAGGAGGAACTGAAGTACTGTATTCAAATCACAGCAGCTCTGAACTCAGACTTGGACTCACAACTTCTCAGTAATGAGTGCAGAGGCTTACCCACTATGCTATGCTACTTTCTTAAGGATTAAAAAATAAATAATGTTATTCAATAAATAACCTATTTTTATCTTGTTTGAATCCCAAATGCGCAATGGACTTGTAGCTCTCTAACCAACCAAAATGGAAGACAGATGTGTCCTTGTGCGATATGTCATAAACCAAACCTTAACAATAGCAATCAAACCTGTCTGCTGAAAATAGATTTTTTCCAGGTATGAATATAATTCCCAATTCCTCCCCATTCTCTATGAATGTGCGTCTCATTTACCTGTCTCTTAATTTTAAATAAAGTAAATATACAACTTAGGGAATTATAATAAATAAATAAAATAAAAGTAATAAAATAAGTAATAAAAGATAAAAATGTAATTTACTGTATCATTCCAATAGCACACAGAGTTCTGGCTTTCTAGCCAGATATCACTTCAGACATGCTGTTTGAACACAGGCTATCTCTTCACTGCACATGTCTTGCTATGCCCAACATTGAACTAAAGCATTTTTAACCCACATCTGCATGTTACTGAAGACAACTGGATTGACCTGCTTCACACATCAGTCAGCTAAGTGTTTTTGCACTGACACCAGTGGTTTCATATACAACACAGAGTAATATACAGTAATGAAGGGGAAATGGAAGTGAATGAATACTGTACCTTGTTTACCTGTAAGGAACACACACCTGACAAAAGGCAATCTTCACATCCAGGATCGGTTCACTGCAGTAATACAAGAAATGGCGACTCAAAAATACCTGAGAACAGAAAATGACCAGCGTTTAATTTTCTAATCCAAAACTATGCTAAAATCCATATCAATGCAAGACCTAGAACAGTTACCCAAAATGATATAACTGAGCCTGCGCTTTTTTAACAAAGAACCCTCTCCTTCTTAAACATGCCTCTTAAGTTTCTGTGGACAACAGAGTATTACTTTGTGTACAGAGCTAAAGGCACCTCTTAAAAGAGAGATAATGTGCATTATCACTGTCCTGTTATTACATTCTGTGTTACTTTACTTTTGTGTTCTTAATGTTTTTCTTCTTGTTTTTCACTGTTGCACAGTGAGGAAAGAAATAATAACTCTGAAACAGTTTTCAAAGTTGATTAGAAGTACTCTAGAATTCAAATTACTTTAGGGTCCTACAAAGATGCCATTGCCCTTGTAAATTAGTACACACAGTAATTTAACACATAATATTACAACTAAAATGTAAATAAATTACTCTTTTAAAGTAAGACATTGTTTTAATTGATTCTCCTTGCAAAATAATATAAAAAATAAAAATAAAAATATTAACATGAAATATCAAATTTTCCCCCAAACTAGACATTTTGAAATTTATTTCCAAGCTTATACTATTGATTCTGACAGAACTATTACTGAAAATAGAAATGCTATAGTTGTAAAAAAGTTTGTATGGACTAAAGTACACCATTTAGATGTACATACATTTTCAAAGCCCCCTCTGTTCAGTGCTCTGTAAAATGACAGCTACCTGCTATATCAGTTAGAAAATGGTGTGCATGATGTTCTTACGGTAATAGTTGAGAAACTAGGGTCTTTTTCGAATGGTTTCCCGTATATAACCTTTAAAAATATGATGTTTTAGGGTCATTATTGCAATTAATGCATTCATTATCATTGAACAGCTCATTGCCATAGAAAAAGGAGAGCTGAAACTCTGAAAATGAACAGCACGTTGAACACTACTTATATAAATTGGATATTAAATAATGTTTAAAATGTAGAGTAGCAGCAGTCTCTCTAAACTTCAATAGACAATACAGTATATTAACATAGTATTTTTCTGTTTATTGTTCCTTGAAGGAAAAATAGCAGCTCTTTTTCAAAATACAGGTTAAACTATCTCATTATTACTAAACTGAAAGACGGTGTACAATGCAAAGAAATTGGATAATTTAATTAGGCCAGTAATAACAGGAGTGAACTAAATACATGTCATGACAGCATAATTTGGGACCCAAAGGTGCTGAAGAAGGACCATCCACTGAAAGCACTTTGCCTGCCACAAAATAACACAACGTCTTGAAAAATTACAGGCCAAACAAGTGCAACTTGCTTAGAAAAATTATTTGTTATCATCAATTTTAAATATCACATAATGCATGTTAAAATTACCTCTTAATGTTCTGTTACTAACATGAATAAAACGTCTCTAAATAGATATATTGGTACAGCGATGATGTGTTGCTCATGGGTACAGTTTAAGATGCACTGAATTAGCATTTTTACATAAGACTAGGAAGAACAATTAGATGGTACAGGTTTGTTATGACCATGTGGATGTAACAGCTGAGGAGCTCACATTCATTTGCTAGAGCCTACCGACTGGCAACATAATGGAACAGGATTATATTTGTGACCCTCCTACTGCAGTATGAATGTAGTGATCTCCAAGAATCACTATAGATATAAGATGTAAGGTAGTTTTCTTACATTTTCAGCCAAGTCAATTAACCTTGTCTAAGGTATGTAATAATATTATTCAAAGTTGTCTCCTTAAGTAGATTATTCTCTATAGTATAAAAGTACTGGTATGAACATTCTAAATAAAACAGACAAAAGCACAAATAGAAAACCTATTACACCACCATCTAGTCAGATTATGTTACGTACTCAACACAGTATATCACTAGAAAGGCTTCAGCCATGAAAATATTGAAAATGTCCAAAAATGCTTTAACAATGCCACTGAATGCTAAACTACAGCAAAGAATATCTGTACAAAGAACAGCAAAGAACAGCTGAATCTTCACAAAACAAAACAGTGAAACAGTGGCTGTTCCAAGTCACACCTATGTGATCCACATTGATTCACAGCACACAACATTCACAGGAATTTTGAAATGTATGTTAGGTGACTAACATTAAAGAGGCCTGTCACAGTGAATTTGAACTTTAATTTTACCAAAAACATGAATAAAGGAGATACTCTATAACTTGGCTACTGTATGTGTTATTTAGTTGTGTATTTCATGCTCATTAGAATTGTGGACATTATATTACATGGACATCTTAAGTTTGAAATTGATTTCCTAGCTAAAGGGTATTCTACACAGGTTATTAGACAAAAATGAGAAACTTAGAGGTTCAGAATATGTCAGGTTCTCTGCAGTTTTAAGCTGAACTAGGAGAAGAATACACCCTGAATGGGAAAAAGTGCATCTTGGTTAATGCATATACTGGTAATCACTTACTGTATAATATTGCATTGGACTACTGTGACCAGTGTACGATACTTCTCTAAAGAACAGAAGCTACACTATGGAGTTGCTCCTAAATTCAACCCATTGAAGTATATTTGTCTCATTTTCATCATGTTATTTATTACGTTTTGTCTCTATTGATACACAGAGCATCAAAAGAACTTTATCACTCTATGTGTCTATGTTTTTAGAAAAATCAAGTATATGAGTTTTAGATATTAATGAAACTGTTGTTGGTGTCATTTTGATCAATTTTGAAGAAAATTTTGATCATTCCTTACTGATCTTGATACAATGAAGTCACTTTGTAGAATAAACACCAAATCACCTCATTCGTGAGCGAGTTGATTTGGCACAGGAGATGAGGCCATTTAACCTTTTGAATTTCAAACTTGGTGAATATTTAGAAAAACACAGAAAGGAAAAAATACCTCACTTATCAAGAAGACAACACCTTCATGCCATCAGTATGTTGGAGACTGGATGAAGTATTTACAGGTGGACTTACCAGCAGTGCAGCCATGTAATTTTAAAACAGTAAATCAAGGCTTTGTATAAACCAACATGATAGACATGTGCTTTATACAGCAGAAAGATACAGTATGCTAATTATTTTTTGCAAAACACCAATTGATGGAGCAATGTGTGATGATCTAGGCAGATGTCTCTCTTGTAGCAATTGATGGCACTATATTAATCAAGTCCTAGGGCTTTACTTGCTGTACAGCAAGCTTTTAACGAGAAGCTTTCTTACACAGCTTTTGTACAAGATGAGAATGTGACAGCTATGAAAGAGGTGCCCTACTCTGTAGACCTGAGCCCCATTGATGGGGTGAGCTGGGATGATGCTTGACATCTCAGTGAACATGCTTGTAAGAAGCGCTATGAGAGGAAAGCAACATAATCCCATAACCCAGTGTCTGCAACCTGGTGCAAAGCCAGCATACAAGTTAAAAGAGTTACAAGAGAGTTAGAACTGAGAAATACAGAAAATATGAAGGATAAACACACAGAACTGTCCCATTGGATTACACTGAAAATCTTATATTTCACACTGCTTTCATACCATGTAATCACCATGTCAGATGGGGCTATTCAGCATGTGCCCTCATAAATCATTCCAGTACAAACCGCATTAAGCTTCCCAGTCATTGTCTTACACAGTACTTGAATCCTGCAACAAAGGAGACTGGAAACTCAGTATTGACTTATCCTGCATTAACAACTCAGGAACATTTATTCACATCACAACATTTTATTCACAACCATGACCAACAATCTCTCAATTTGTATAATCTAGAAAAATATTTAAGGAAGCAGCCTACTTACAAAATGAAGGACAAAGCAACAAAGATACCTTTCTCTGACCACAATGGTGTTATGTGTATTTTGCCTCACACAGCTGACTGGTTAAGGGCATAGAAAACAAATGATCAGCGAGATCAGGAAGTCATATCTCATAAGGCTGCTAGTAGGACAAGACTGTCAGAGTGACGTGGTGAAAGGAATTAAATCCTGCTTAACCTTAAAATTTAATTGCACTACTTTCTGCTGTTCATGTTTCTCAAGGCTAACTTGACTGATGGTTATTATGCTGCCTTCCTGACCCATTGACCTTTCCCAAGACTGCTGGGTAATTCATATCGAATAATATGTTATAAACACAAGGTGAAATAAATTATTGCCACCACCTTTTTCAGGTTTCTTAAGGAAGAAATAATAGGTATAACATTAATGAGATTTTTAATGTGATAATAGCTTTTTTTGGTTCTTGATTTCAATCTAAGGACTACAGTTTAAGTACAGTATGTACTGTACTGAAATACTGTACTGTATGTGTTAACAGTCAAAGACACTTGCTATGGTGTATGCAGCTGCTCTATAAACATCTGATTATTCCCACAGAATAGAGTATAATAAAAGATCATATAAAACAAACAATAAAAAAGGCAATCATCAATATTGCAGTGTTTTTTGTAGTACACATCTATAAAGCTACAATCTTCATAATGAATAAAATGATAATTGTTAGGGCTTGTGTTGTGTTTTGATAGTATGTATTATCTGAACTGTTTAACTTGAATATTAGCTCAAATTGCTTAAATATGACTTCTACTGTGTGTCACCAGCAGACTGTACCAATAACCACTTTGGAAGTATTGGTTAGTACAGGAGTAACACTGAGAATGAATAAATAACCTGCCAGTGGAAGGAAAGCTTATTGAAATGCTACAGATCTCACTGAGAGTTTGATAAGAAAGGTCTCAGTGTTGAATATTAAGTTAAGATCCATTAAAATGGCTATTTTTTATCAGTGTTCCTATTAAAAAAAACTTCTTGCATTTATTCTTTCTGTTTAGAATTTGATTAGTATGCATCTGGGAGAACATACTTTGTCAACTGATGCAGATATTGGATGAGTGGAGAGTGCAAAACATATCACAGTTTTCATTGTATTAGTGTGGATTTCTTCAGCTAGTTGAAATAAAGGTCAAATAAATCTTCTGTTCATAAAATTTTAGAT